CAACGACTTTTTGCAACTCGAATGAGTACTGTTACTTGTCAAATTCCCTTTTATTATTATTGCCATTTCGTCACAATCACATTATCATTCTTTACTACCCACCATCATTATTATTGTTATTTTAGTATTATTGTCATTATTATATTATTGTCATTATTGTCATTATTATTATTATTGTCATTATTGTCATAATTATTAACATTATTATCATCATAACTACTACTATCGTTATTATTATTATTATTACTATTGTTACAATATAATAATCATTATTGTGATCATCGCGATTGTTATCATTATCATTGTCATTATTATTTTTATCATTATTATGCATCATATTATTATCCTCTTCATTATTATTATTATTATTATTATTATTATTATTATTATTATCAATATTATCGTTATCATTGTTATCATCATTGTTGTTGTTATTGTTACTCTTACTAGTATGATGATTATCATTTTCAGCATCATATTATCATTATATTATCATTATCATTTTCACCATTATAGTTAATATCATTACTATCATTACTATTATCATTATTGTAATTATTATCATCAATATGATAATCATCATTATTATTACTGTTTTACTATTACCATTATTATCATTATCAATGATTTGTTGCTGTTGTTATCATCATTATTATTACTATTATTATGATTATTATTATTGCTGTTGTTGGTATTGCTATTATTACTATCATCATTGCTATCATTCTCATTATTGTTACGATTTATCATCTATTATCATTATTAATATCATTATTAGCAGCATCTTCACTGTCATCATCCTAATCATTATCATCAGTATTATCTTCTTTATTATGATTATGATGAATATCATCAGAACGAGATCGAAGATTCCAGAACGTTCTCACCCGTAGCAGAAGGCATCGGACACTGCCATGACGTCATTCTATACGCGTGGGGTATGGGCGTCGGTCCAAACTCCGGCACATAAAACTTGGCGCGAGGCACTTCTCAGCATACAGTCTTTCGACAACACTCGCAGTGAACACATTGCAGCTTCGGACTCCCTGAGCCAACGTTCTTTATATTTCTCAGCTGTAAGCCTCAAGAGCAAGCATGGCCCCAATTCAGAAGCACATTTCATCTTTTACTGAAGAGAATTCAGACAGAGCGACCAGCAAGGCCTTCACAGCCAGCAGTTGCTTTAACACAGCCACAACGAGCACTTCAAGCAGCAGCATAACAGGCAGTGACAGTGCTATCGCCTCTGACCGTGACAGTCCAAGGAATCGCATCACCCACTTCGACAGAGACGGAGAGCGAGAGGTCGCGCTGCCCATCACCTCACGAGGTCACTTCTATCATGACTCCTTCTTCAAGGATCTCCGAGAGCATTTCGATGATGCCGTAAAGGACACACTGGACCTGTGGAATTCCAGGTCACCTTTCGAGGACGACCTGCTTTGCTACAGACGAATGCGAGACCTCAACCTCACGGAAGAGACTCAGGCTCTTTCCGTCAAGCAGGACGGCAACTCTCACCAGGTAAATGTCGCTCACATGCAGTATACTGTTGTTGAACTTATTACGGAGGAAATCAGTTGTTTGCGTCTCTGACATAATATCTTGCTATTCATAGATACATGTTCCTTTCCCCAGGTCGTGATTGACGTGCGCGACTTCATGGAGGGCGACATCAAGGTGAAGGTGGTGGACGACAGCGAACTGGTGATCGAAGGCAGCGTCGAGAAGCGACGAGATGGCGCCGTCTCGAAGAAGACTTTCTGTCGACGCTTCTCATTCCCGGTCTCTTGAGCGAAGACGCTGTGTCCTCGTCCATGTCGGCAGATGGAGTTCTTACTGTCACTGTTCCAAAGAAGGTGCGTGATAAAAGCTGTCAAAATGGACTGAATACAATCATCATTTACTGGCTGCGCATTATCTGAAAACTTTTTACAGACAAGGAACCTTCATTTACATGAAATTCTTCTTCCAGAGTTCCTTGACAAACAACAAGGAGGGCCAAACTATCAAAATCACTGCCTCGCACAAAAAGTCTGCAGATGCTACAAAGACCACACGAACATCACCAACAACGTCGAAACGAAAAGTTAGTGTCGAAGGAAAACATCAAAATCGTCTGGAGTGAAAGTGGAAGAGGATCAGACTCAGTCGACGGAGTCTCAGAACACGCAGGACTCGAGCGACTCGACGCAGGCCAACCCACTTGCTTCGTTCCACCTTCTTCCCATTTCGGAAAGAGGGCCTTTCTTCCGCGATTCCTTCTTCCAGGACACTCGAAAGCAATTCCAAGAAGCCGTCGACCAAGTCCTCAAAGAGTGGGGACAAGTGGACTCTGCGAGCGACCACATGAACATGTACAGGAACTTGCGAAAGCAGAACTTGCAGGAAGAGAACCAAGCCGTCGCCTTCAGCGAGGACCACCAGTGTTATAAGGTCAGTTGAAAGAGCATTCAGTACTGATACATTTGACTTCATTTTATCAGGTAAACAATCCATC